AGTGTTAGTTTGAGACAGGGCTGTCCGGTCCTGGTCAGGAAAGGGCCTGGACACAGACCACAGCTATGCTATGTGTTAGTTTGAGACAGGGATGACCGGTCCTGGATAGGAGAAGGCCTGAGATCTGTGTTTTGGCCCTCATTGCAACTCATTGCAAATAAACTGCTTCTCCCAGCTCCTCAGGGGCTGTTGCTTTAAAAGGGCCTTGAAAACCCACAGACACACCAATCCTACAGCACCAGGACTGGACACCTCTGGTTTACCAGAGCTTGTACCAGAGTTTCTGCCTTTATTCTGGCAAAAAACCCCACCCCACTTCTTCCATACTATTACATTCAGTCTAGCCGAATGTGACAAGCCACAATAGTTCAAGACAACAGCTCCCTTGAGTATTTAGCCTTCACTTAAGAACATCATTATCATTAATCAACCCTTAAGTAATACAGACGCTATCTTAATTCTTCAGCTTGTCCCCTTGACAAATGTCAATCCATGCATTGTCCTGAGCAATCTGCCCTGTATATAGTGATTTGCTAACGTTGTTCAATTCAATCAAATTATGCTTTTAATTTCCTGGTGTTAAATGTCAGACACACTGACACACGTGACAATGTAGGATGTCTAATTCATACAGTATAATCCATCCATTTCTCCAACACGGGGGAGCCAGACCCTATCCCAGCAAGCAACAGGTGCAAGTCAGGATACGCTCTGGATGCGACGCCAGTCCATCACTGGGCACACAGATACAAACACACACTCGCACCAGGGCTAGTTTTCCCAGAAACCAGTTAGTCCACCTGCATGTCTTTGGACTGTGGGAAGAAACCGGAGCAGTCCAAGGAAACCCTCATGAACACAGGGAGAACTTGCAAGTATTTTCAATTTTGTCCTAAATGATCTCTAAATTATGCAATGGAAGAGATTCATCACAGTGTAATTGTTCTAAGACTTTAGAATTTGGGGATTTAATGGTGACCAACAGCACTTTCTGAACTGGGGCTCTGCAGGACCAGGCTTAAAATCTGGAGGTCTGAGTGAATCTGTGTCGATGAGGTTTTCATGTAGTCGGCACAACTTCCAAAGTTTTACAAGTTCTTCTCTGCAGACGAAGTGTGTAAGATCCACCAGCCCTCCCAGCGTTCAGGTAAGGTGCTGTTATATTCAACCCATCTCAACACATTGGCAACGTTTCAGGGTAAAATGTGAGAAAATGTGGGAAAATGTGAAAAGCTCTTGGAATTCAATCGAACGTTTCTTTTTTTTTCTGAAGAATTCAATTAATCAATCAGGGCACAATTACATCATATATGATGATCTCCACCTCTGCGTGCGCCCCCGGGCTGAACGCCTCAAGCGCCGATATGCGCAGCGCCTGCGAGCTGTCGCTCCAAATCGATCGCTGAAATTCGTTCGAAGTTTTCAAAATTCTGATGGAAAGCAAATTCGAATTAATTTCTTTGTACCTTTGGGTACACCCTCCAGAGTGCCGAGTTCAGTTCGGAAAGAAAGAAAAAAAGGAACATACAGTACAGTACGTGCACAGATATTCAAACCCCAACTCGAGAGGGACATGAACTCGCAAGACTGCAGTGGAGAGGGGGGGAATCAATTCAAGACTGTAATTTCAAAAAGCCGTTCTCTTAACCTCGAGCACTCTTGACAGGGCAAAGCAAAGAAAGATATCCGCTTTTATCGGGAACGAGTGATCTGTCGCCCCGGGGATGCGCGCCGAACACGGGAGGATTGAAGGCTTCAGTAAATCACATGGGGTTCCGGTTAGGAAATTACTGAGACCCGAGGCGAAATGCCTGGGCCCGGCGGGACTGCTCCCAAAGCCGTTTAGCTGACGCTTTTAACCAAAGTGACGAAGAGAAAAAGACGACGGGGGCTCTTAACAGCAGGCAGGACTCTGCCCGGGAGAAAAGGGTTTCGACAGCCTGTGCTCGAGCTGCGGTTCAACGCAGTTTCCGCGCCAAAAGAGATAACTACTGTAGCAGCGCAGGGTCGCGCCTTAACAGCCCTCTGAGGGAAACGGGGTTTTGTTAATAAACAATAACACACTGCGATCTTTGCCGATATACTGTAACACGTTTAAACACAAATGGCCTTTCTTTCGATATTTTGACAGGGTCAGGTAACTGTAGCTAAGAAAGTTGGCGCTGTCATGTTGCTAGGTCCATAAAATAAAATACATCAATTCTACAAGAGGCAGTGGTGGTTAAGATTGAAGAATAAAATGCCCTCTGAAATACAGAGCTCGCTTCGCTTGCGAAGATCTTTTGTGCTTTTTTTTAAAAGACAGGAATGCAGAGCTTTCGCACCGAGTTCAGCGCTCTTGATAAATCTACCTGCCCCCCACAAAAAATGTAAAATCATTGCCTCCCACACACACACCTCCTCTCTCTCATTGCATTTCTAACGTAAAGATTAAAAAATGTACTTTTCCAATAACCTGTATGGACTCTACCCCCTCTCTCCAAATCCCAGTTTGATGGTGTCCTAGAAAAACAATGTAAAAATACAGAATTTATCTGTGACTTGCTGACACTCCTGAAGTCTTTCAGTAACCCCAATATTTATGGCACCTGCGATCTATTCACATCTGAACGAATTCAGTCGTAGGGATACAACACCTGCCTGAACAGGGTCAGAGATAGCGGTGAGGGTTTCTATTTAGGTTTTTACAGTAGCTAGCGTTATCTAGCGTTAGGCTAGATTGCCTGCGCCGCGGGATACACGCCGACAACTAGAGTTTGCAAAAATAATCAAAGCTCTTTTTTGCCTATCGATGTCAAAAGGAAAGAGCAGCAGCCAAGCAATGGGGTGTACAGATAGGAATGTGGTGGAGTGGGGGTGGTGGAATAATAAAGCGGCTCAGCAAACTCAAAGCAGCGCAGATCGAGGAAAACCCAGAGTAATCCCGAGGGACGCCACGCGCATCGCGGAGCCGCGCAGGAAGTTCTTTCAGAGCACGGAATGCTGGGACTGTGTGAGGCACGAGGCACATTTTTAAATCTCAAAACCGTTTTACTCCGTCTAACTGGAGAACCAGTCACTTCACTGCCACTAGAACAGGTACTATAAAGGTGCTAGGTAATTTAACTTTTCTGCAGATATTTTTAAAGAGAAAACGAACTGGGTTGAAGGATACAAATGGAAAGGTAAAATAGGAGATGCAGGTGTTTAAGGAGAGTCCCTGTTTCAGTAACCCGTCATCGCGTTCGCTAAATATCAAACGGAGGCTTTTTAAAAACATGCCGGGAAGCAGAATTTGCTCCCCATCTTTTTGAAAGTAGCTGCAAAACAATCATTTTACCAAAAGTAAGACACTTATTTATACAAAGTCTTGTGGGAGTATGAAACAAGTAACCCTGTCGTGTTATTTAAGCCGATACCCTGGCTTCTTTGAAGAAGCGGCTGGATGAGATCATAAGATCAGTTAGATAGTGATTACCCAGCGGGCTAGTTGGACCGAATGACTCTTCTCGTTTGCGCCTTTCTTATGTTTGAAGTGGACTCAAAAAAAAAAGAATGGAGGTAATGAAATGTTTTAGTGATCCCCTAAAAACCACCTCCCCCTCAAAAAAAAGATTTTATTTTTTTGTCATAAGTAAAAGCGCAACAAATTTTGAACCGCAGCAAAGTTGTTAGCCACTTTTCCAAAGCAGAAAAACATGCCAAAAACAACACAAAGTTCCAGAAACCAGAGCAATATCTTAAAGCAGCAAGCGTTCTGAGGCACCATCTGCGAGATACCCATCAGGCTCCGAGTCCCATATGTTGTACTGTGAATGCGGGGCTGCCTCGAACCCACGCAGTCCGTAAGCGGCCCCCCCTCAGCTGCGCAGCTCTGCCCCCACCAGTCCTGCCGTCTGCTTCGGACTGGGAGCCTGGACTGATATCCTCTTGCCCGCACAGCCAGGGACATATGGGCCTCCCTGGGGACGGATCTCCTGCCCACTCACTCCTCCCACCCATGCTTTGCACGCAAATCCCAGTGGAGTCTGGCGCCTGGCTCGTAGTGCGGAGAACGGAGCACGATGATCTGTTTGAGGCGCACTGTCCCTCTGTCCCCTGGCTCCACACACTCAGCCCATCTCCTCTCCTGCCTGATGCTCAGCTCTGGCAGCTGGGGAAGAGGCAAGCCTCCTGTTGTGCTGAAGTAATTTGAACCAGGTCTCTTACCACGGTCTTCTAACTGCGCCCTCCTGGAGAGGTCTGCCCAAATGTAGCGCACCCATCCCTGCCTTTTTATTTGTGCTTGTACAAACGCCACCGATGTAGGAGCAAGGGGGAGATCGGGGGGAGGGCTGCCTATATTCATTCCAGTCCCTGTGAACCGCATTGCAGGTAGACCTTTGCTCCCCCTCCAACCTCTTCTCACCGAAGAGAAGATTCAGAAGTTCGCTGTAATTTTGCAACTTCATCATTCAGGGTCCATCATCTGTGAGAAAACAACGGGAATTAAGTGTTTTTCTGTCCACGCTAGAGACAAAAATAACACATTTCATGAATAGTTAGGATCCGGGTGAAGTTTAGACTCAAGGTGAACCCTGACCCTGCAGGGCCTTTCCTCTCTAATTGCAGCTCTGAGATTGGAAGGGTAAAAAGAAGAGATTTTGAAGGCAAAAATTTAAATATAAAGGACTGCAGAGCATGGTTACCCTTTTCTAGTTTTGTGAAAAGGTTTTACAATCACATTTGTAGGATTAAAGGTCTTTAGGATTTTTTTAAGTGGCTTCAATGATGTTCAGCTGTTTTCTTCTGACAGGAGGCTTTCCCATAGAGTGCAGGCTCAGAACTTTCCCGAAAGGCAAACTTGAGGAAATCATCCCTGTGAAGCACATTTTGGATAAGTTAAACAAGCTGATTTCTCCTTCTGTCTCTACACAGGATCACTCCTCAATGTTAAATTCCCCCCCAATTAAGGGGCAAGGTTGCTTTTTTATCAATAAACAAGCTTCAAAAAGTTAATCTGTGCTTTATCTTTAAAAAAAAAAGGAGAGCGCCCTTTGTGCTCATCCACAGGCAAAATTCCCAGCAATAAAGGAAAGCCAGTCTCATGGTGCATTTTTGTATTCGCGTTACAAATTCTTTGTTTTTTTCCTGGAGGGGAAAAGAAACCTGAATCTGTTTAGAAGAAGGTGCCCTTGGTGTCTTGGCAGAGGATCTTCTTGAAGGCCCTGCGGAAGTCCTTGTTAAAGATGGTGTAGATGACAGGGTTCACTGAGCTATTGCAGTAGCCAATCCAGAAGAAGAACTTGAAGACGGGCGCAGGGAGGCGGCACGCTATCGGGCAAACGGCCTGCAGGCTGTAGGAGAAGAAGAACGGGAACCAGCAGAGCACGAAGATGCCAATGACCACCGCCAAAACGAAGGTGAAGCGCTTCTCACGGTTCACCGCAGCCTTGCGACGGGCGGTGTTGGGCGTGCCCTCCGGCTTGGATCGGCGCACCACGAAAACCTCCCCCCGGGCGGTGGCGATTGTCCCACCGTATCGCCGGGTGGAGGTGTGCGGGCTGTTGTAGTCGTTTCCCGGGGAAGTCCCGCCCTCCCTGGGCCCTGCCTTCCCATTCCCCTTCTTTTTCCCCCTGTTCGGCTTGCCCCCCTCCGCCTCGGGTTCCGAACTGGAAGAGGAGTCATCCAAGGCAGCCTTCTCTCTTCTCGCTGCATGCTGGGACGCCTGCCGCCCATCAGAAGTGGCCACCCACTCCCTCCTCGCTGCTGTGCTTTCCGAGGCTGCCTCCAAACAGCGGCCCGCCTCTCCGCCTGCGCCCTGTTGAGTCGAAGAGGCAGAGAGCGAGAGGGCGAGAGAAGTCGAGGGGGATGGAAGTGGTAAGGGGGCCTGCAATAGGTCGCTGGAATCTATGGTGGCTTTGCAGGGGGGCTGGGACGGGATGGCCACTTTGAGAGCAGACGGCCAGGCTAGAGCTGGTGGTTTGCCATTTGTGTGATGTAATTCAGCATCCTCCGGTGTGGGCACGTTGCTCTGGTTGTGGCCACCCTGGTGTCCATTTGGCTGATATTCCTTCTCCGTCTCGGGGGCAGGCAGGGGGAGCTCCTTCAGGGAGGGATCGGTGCAGGAGGCGGGAGCTGCGGCCGCGAAGCTTCCGCCCCCCTTCTGTGCCTCCCCGGGCAGGCGCCGGGTGCGCTGCTTGGCGATCTGGTAGATGCGCAAGTAGACCAGGATCATGATGAGGCAGGGGGCGAAGAAGGAGCCGATGGAGGAAGAGAGGATGTACCACCTCTCGTCGTTGAGCTCGCACTGCGGCCGCCCATCCCCGGCTACCCCCTGCTTCTTGTTCATAGACAGCAGCGGCGGGAAGGAGATGATGGCGGCAATCAACCACACCACCAGTATGGTCGCCTTGATGCGGCGCGGCGTGCGCTTGGCATTGTACTGGATGGCCCGCGACACTGACCAGTAACGGTCCAGGCTGATGGCGCAGAGGTGGACAATGGAGGAGGTGCAGAACAACACGTCCAGCGCCAGGAAGATCTCGCACCACACCGCCTTGAAGTACCAGTAGCCCATAAGCTCGTTGGCCAGGGAGAAGGGGATGATGAGAGTGGCCACCAGAATGTCGGCGGCCGCCAGCGACACCAAGAACAGGTTCTGGGGGGCCTTCAAGGAGCGGCTGGTGAGCACGGCAATGATCACCAGGACGTTGCCGAAGATGGTGAAGAGGATCATGAAGGTGATGACTGTGGCGAAGGCGGCGGTGGCTTGGGGGGAGTAGGGGGACAGCCTCAGCACGCTCTCGTTGCATACCTGCGTCGCGCCACTCCCTCCACTGCTGGCATTCCCACTGCTGGGCAGGGACAAACAGGCGCGCTCTGCTGGGGCTGACATCGCCAGGGGAGGGCCCAGGGCCCAGGCGAGGAGTCAACGCAGCACAATTGACAAGTCCAAGTTGCTCCGAGAGGGCAGAAGGGTTTCTTCAGTACATCCTTTTGGACGTGAAAGGATTCTGCAGGGTGGCGGCTGTTCATCTACTAGTGGCGAAGGCACTTCATTTATAAAAGGACACGAAGAAAAGAGATTTCCTGCCGTTCCCAGTCTCTTGATGAACAAGCATCTGGTCAAAGGTGGGACCTCAAATCCAGCAGCAACCCTGAGGGAATAGTTTTATCTTTCGTGATTCGAACCCGCCTGTTTGTTGTCCCAGTCTTCGACGGACGTGAATCCTCCCTTGATTCTGATCTTAGACGCACAAAATGAAGCTGAGAAAGTTGGGGATGATCTCCACGAAAAAAATAAATAACCTCTCAAACACAGTCAAGCAAAACGCAATTAAGTGAACAACGACGATGCTTTCTTGCAAGATAGAAAGGAGCAGTGCGTTTCCTAATACAGTACTACGTCCGGGCAACAGAGAAATTACAGATAAAACAATCTGAATTGGTTTTACCTCATTTATAAGTTCGTATTTGGCTTTATTTTAGACCTCTGCTTCTCCGTGGTCGTTGTGCCCTTGAGTTCTGGCGTTGCTTGAGATACAGTTGGATCTTTTCTTGTGTCCGCTCGCTTTCTGTCGTTACTGACCCAATAGTTATTGGCGACTGCTCAATCGGACCGGTGAACTCAATCACGCAAATACAGGAGCGACCAGCAGACTTTCGTGTAGTTCAAGCAGACACTGCGCAGTCCCCTGCCGTAACAGCGACGAACTCGGACAGGTGCTCGTCTTTTAAAAAAGAACTATAAAACCAACATCAGATGTTAAAATCCCAAAGGAAGTGTTTTCTAAAATACCGTCCTCTGAAGACTTATACTTCCTTGGTTTTCACTTAGGGCTCGGGGCAGAGCGCCAATCGAAACAGTCTTGCGATGTTTTCTCTTCATAAAAGGGAGTGAAAAGGAGGAAAACAAAACGTAGCTCGCAGCTGTTACATGGATTAATCCTACTTCATGTTTATTTCTCAGCTATCAAAGGTCATGTCCTCGGTGGAGAAGATGGGTTAGTGGAAAGAGAGAGGCTGTCAGTTTCCAGCTTGACGGGGCGCGGAGGGCTCGCGGCTGGCTCGAGACGCGCTGGGGGGGCTTCGAGGAGCCCTTTAAACCGGCAGCACGCGCGGGCTTCCGAGGCTCCTGCTAAACCAGTGAGGTGCCGTTCCCGCTCTCACAGAACCGAGAAACACCTTCACAAAGTCATAGTATTTGATTAAAAAAACATAACCGGAGGTAAAACAGGTAAAATAAAAAGCACGCTCATATCAAAACCGGTCCGCTCTTTTCCGCTGTACCCGGTAGGGCAGGACTTTTCCCGAGGCTGTCATCTCTCATCTCTCCGCGCTCTCTCTGTGGCAGGACCGGCTCCGTGCGCCTTCCAGTTACACAGTTTACGCTTTTTTTCCACACTACTTAATAAAAGCGAGTCCCTCCAGTCGGGTTCCCTGCCCAGAAACGTGATGTCAGTGTAGCGTCACCGAGCTCTGATCCACGCCGCCTACCTCCCCCAAACCAAGACTGTTTAGCACTGGAGAGACAAGATAGAGGCCAAGAAGTTATTTAGAGATTCTGCATTTGTCGGAGACTAAAACGGTGGATCACGCATATCTTACATGTGTAAGAAGTGCGTTTTTTGTATAAGTGCTAAAAATTGTTTTTAATTTTGTTTTAAACCCACAACGGTTCTTTTTTTAATTAGCTGAATGTTTTGTGCAGTTTAAAAAAGTATGAAAACTGTCCTTTTTCGTTAGCCAACCGTTTAAGAGTGTTAAAAAAGTGAGAGATTTTTAAAAGACCATACAGGCATACAGAGAGGGGAAATTTCAGAATCCAATCCAATCTTATATCACACACAAGGCGTTGCCTTCACCACGCTGTGTTCAAACTTATAGGGTCAAATCAACTGCAGTGATTTAAAACTAACGCATGGGCGGAAGTGCACGTTTTTATGTTGATCTCGTCCATGCAGCAGTTTACTCCTGGGGAAGAACGCAGACCCGCAACCCGTTCCGGAAGCACAGGGCGCCGTGTAGTGAACGCCAGTCCATCCAAGTACGCGCACACGCAAAGGTACAATTCAGAGCTGCCACTTAGCCGCGCCAGCCTATGGCTTCGGAAGCGGAGGAAAAACCACCCGACTACCGGGAGAACATGCGTACTCCACACCGAAGGTGTGTCATGCTGGAAACAAGCTCAGGCATTTCGCACAGCAGAGCTCTGGAACCTATACACAACTGGTGGGCGAGAAGCAGGAAGTTCAGAAGTTACTGGAAAGACGATACCGGCACGAGGGCCGTAGGAGATTCCGATTTCAATAAGGTACCAGCTTTCCGACCAGAGCATAACTGACTGACGCTTGAGGTATTATCTCCCTCTACGTTATGAGCACGGCCGTAGCGAGTTTTTTTTTTTAAATATCCTTTTACAGTTCTACAGTTTCTCGAGCATTTGACATCTCAAACCATTTCGGAAAGGGTACGTACTGTACTAATGTGCAGAGGTCCACTTTTCTGCACACTATGAAGTTATCTCCTCAACGCAATGGTGTACGGGTCAGGCGTTGTAGCTTGAGAAAACCGCGCATTTTTGCGATGTGAAAATCAAGGAGCTTTCTCATGAGTGCAGTATTCTACCTAACTCGTTTGAATTGCTGGCTAAATTTGGAAAACGGGCCCTGAAATACGTAAACGCCCATTCAACACGAGGCCAGCGGGGCCACACACTCGTGGTCGAGAGGCGACGATTTTCTCCCCGCAGGTGGCTAAATAAAAACACTCGAGCCGTAATTACCCGAGGGGGCACAGGCAACTCGACAATCCCTGCCGCAGGGCCCCAACACCGCGCCGCGCGCTTGCAGGGAACGCTGAACTCGAGTAGTTAAAAGAGCCTCTTCATCTGCGCGTTCAGCGCGAGTTGTTGACTACCAGGGTGAAGCTGAAATAAAACCATAAACACGAAAGTGACTTTTGCCTGTGACTAAGATCCGAGCGCACTCTTTGTACAGTACAGGCGTACGGAATGCAAATGCGCTCAAAATGTAGAAAGGTAACACATGCGATAAGCACTTGTTTTCTGGAGAGTAGCGGACAGGAGCGTGGCGGACGGCGCAAGTCCTGGACTCCACACCGAAGCAGCACGCCCTCGGGGTGGAGCGCGCATGGTCTCCGCATGCTCCGGGGTCCTCGCTTTCCACAGAGACTCCAGGCTAAACTCAGTTCTCCAAATCTGCCGGGCACGGGTCGCTCTGCTCTCACCAAGACGTCAGGCAGAAGCGGCTTCCTGATGGCGGCTAGACCTGAATAAGCCACTTCAAGTTTTGTAGTGCCGCTGGCTTCCCCAACCATCCACCCACGTGAAAAACTATATCGTCGAGGTTGTACTCGAACCGAGATCAGCTTGGAGAGAGAGAGCTGGGCAGGGGTTGGAAAAGTGTTTTTCCTTCTGCAATAGCATAGGCCGACATTCAGAACTTGCGCCGCCTAGAGACCTCGTAGGCCAGCGGAGAGATGGACCTCTTGGGATTGCGCGTTAGGGACAATCTCTTCACGACCCCCGCTTGTCTGCTTTGTGCTAACCCCACTAATGTAGAAACGCTGGCGAAATAGGATGTTGAACACGTTAACCCCTCTAAGCTTACACATCCGCGCTGTAAAACGAGATACTACTGCCCCTACCCGAACGGCATTAAAAATCACGACACTGATTAAACAAGACCATCGCTACTGTTGGAGTTTTAACCACTTCCCTGTGTGTGAACTTCATGAACATCCCTCACTCCTCACAGCAAAGAGACGAGGGACGCCCGAGTAGCTATTGACGAGAAGAAAGTGCACCTACATGAGCACCTCGGCAAAAAGACTTTGTTCTGCTTTAAGGTATAGAATAAAACAAGGTAGTTTTAGACTTAAGGAGAATAAAAGGAGCCCGCCTTCTAACATCGCCGCTATTCTCCCCTCTGCATTTCTACTAGGAGGGAGACCATGGCTTTGAGAGCAAGCTCAGCACCATGGACAGCGTTAGAAAAGGGGAATGCTGCCACCGTGTGGTAACAAATACAACCGATAAGCAGCGCAAGATTTGCTTCCTAACGGTAAAAGGGGGAAGATGCTCTTAAGCAAAAGTCGTCAGATCTTGCTCACTACCCAGCTATAGAGACTGGGAATATAAACCTTGGAAAGGGCTCCAAGTACAATATAACTCCCTGGAAACGTCATTTCACCTCTCCTTCCTATTCCGATTGCCTGCACCAGCAAATTAAAATAAAACCTAAACAGGCCACCTAACCTCCCCAAAACACAGGGGGCTGGTGGGCTGATGAGCTGAATCCACCTTTGCCAGAACCTGTACTGTACCAGGTTAGAGAGACCCTAGAAAAACTGCTAAGGAGACCTGTCTGATAACCAGTTGCTTTAGGGCTCTTCAGATTGAATGCTCAGTTCACAGACTGTTGAGAACTAGAGTTCATGAAACAGAAACCTTCTCAGCTCGTATATGTCCAGATTTGGCTAAGCCTCCAAGCTACTGTATTGCC